AAGTTGTGCTACGTTCCATGCTTTGCGGACACATCAGTATAGCTCATCAGTGCCACCGACTTGAAGGGCACGTGGTTCGGTTTCCTTGCACGGTCGCCATGGCCATGTCATGCTGAGATCTACTTCGCTGCACACACTTGCTGCTGGTCATTGTGTGGCTCGCTTGAGTGTCCAGCGATGCATTGCCACAACGCTAGAGCAGTGGCAGCGGCGATGCGATCGATTGACCAGCATCCTGAGAAGGATCAAGTTCCCGAGGCTGAGGGAGTTTGAGGCAGGTGGTAAAACATATGCGTTGCCCCTGCGATCAGTGGCTCCGCCACGCGACTTGCCAACCCAAGCAGAACTTGAATATTTGGTTGGCTTTTTTGATGGTGACGGCTGCGTGTCAATGCCCCGTGCAAACGGACAGGTGACCCTTCGGATATCTCAGGCGGTAGATTCTGCACAGATTCTGACTCGGTTCCGGGAAGCTCTTGGTGGTGGCATTTATCAGCATGGTAGCAGGACTGGCGCGCGGCAAGCAACTTTGTGTTGGAATGCTGGGGGTGATGCTGCTAGGCAAGCCGCACAGCTGATGAGCAGTCTTCCTTGCGTGAAGAGAAGGCAGTTGGAAATTGCAGCTCAAGGTCCAATTCGACCATCCCTAAGAAATGAAAGAGGAGATGAGCTGAAGTCACTAAAATGGAATCAGAGACCAGAGGTTCTAAGGTGCTCCTGGCGGTACTTAGCTGGTTTCTTTGATGCTGAAGGTTGTATTACCATTGGCCATTCCAGGGCACCGCTGCGGTTGCAATTGGGACAAGTGAGTCCTGGTGTTTTGGAAAGTATTCTGACATTTCTTCGCACAAACAATCTTCATCGCTGGCAACTATACAGTTGCAGTTTTAAATCTTACTTTTCTTTGTGCTGTTGGCATTTTGCAACCAGCAAGCAGACTTTGGAGCACATGCTGGATGCTGGACTACTGGTCAAGCAAAAGCAAGCAGAGCTGGCTCTTTCACTAACTGCAAGCAACAAGAGAGAGGTCCGCAATGCCGTGTCCGAGCTCAATGGACTGCAGAACAGATACAACCGTCTTGACGAAGATGGCATTGAACGCTCCATGCAACTTCAAAGACTATACCAAAAGTTGCGGAAGACCGGCTGCCAACAGAAGGTTGGGTTGCTGCAGAGTGAACTGCAAGAGCTTCAAACACGACATGCCTTGCTGAAGCTACAGTCCAAGTGTGATGCGTTGCGCAGAGACATCCGACAGTCGCTCAGAGAAGGTGGTGCGATTCAGCAGTCTGAAAGTGCCCGCTTCAGCATGCCTGATAAGCCCGACCCAGTGCCCGATCCATATGTAAGTTTGAAGGGAAACACATAATACATACGACAATGGAAGGCCCCACACAAAAGTTCTCCCGTGTTTTGGTATCCTATTATAACAAGCAGTTGATGACGCTCCTAAGGCTTGGGGCTCTATCCGCGCACTGCGCGGCAGCCCTTTGCCACGGGTCTCCATGGTGTGGCGGAAGAGTTGCTCAGACGCTTGGTGCAGCTGTAACAGGGTGTGTAGTTGGGTGTATATGTGTGCACGTGTGTGCGGGAGGGGGATGAGGGAGCAGAGGAAGGAGATGTGGCGGTTGGGAGTTCATTGTAGGCCAAAAGAGTTGCATAGGTGTCCTTTAACTGATCTGTTATGGCAGTGGGCTCTTGGCGGAATACCTTAGGGCAGTCCATTTCTTCTTCCTGAGCACCAGTCCACTATGTGCACGGTTTGGGGACAAATTGGCAAAGTGTGCGAAGCCTTGGCAAGGTTTCAGAAGAACCTTCGTCAAGAGAAAGGTTGCACGAGCAGTAGTGGAAATCAAACGACGCACACACCACCCTTTTGCATTTGATCTCTTCGGGGTGGTGTATCAGTGACCTTTCATCTCTGACACTGTCAACTTAAGCAGCCCAAACTTGAAGACCTCAAGCGTGGTCAGTCTCTTGTTCCAATGTGATGGAGCGGATTGGCTGATTCAGCCAAAATGGACCAAAGCTGCCAGGATCTTTTGGGTTTGGAAGGTCTCTCACCTACCTTGAAGCCGCTTTGGTAGTCTCTCACCCTGCGTGGCCACCGCGTCGCGGACCACTGAGGACGCGCAGAGGCGAAGAATGCCTTGGACGCTCAGTTGCAGAAGACGCTCCGAGCGGCACAGCGGCTGAAAGAGGCCGGCTGCTGCGGGAGTTCCTTGGCTCAGACAGTTGAGGATGTTGAGGATGGAACCCCCAGGTCAGAGCCAATACAGCTTTGTAGAGAGAGAGGGAGTGATTTGTATTTATGTTATTATGGTATGACACACACACACACATGCTTGAGATGTGAATGCCAGGGGCTCGTGGCCTGTACATATTTAGTTAGGAGAGTATGCCCAGTGAGTCATGATCAGGAAGTCAGCAAGTTTGAGTAATCAAATGGGAAGGAGACAGAATTGAAATGTGTCCATTGTTCGTAGAGTGCACATATGCTTTGTAGAATCGCAGACTTTCAAACATGTTCAAGACAAGAAGCGGCGGACTCACCTTGATCATGAACGCTTCATTTCGGTGTGCAAAGACGTCGAGTTCAATGCTGGCAAACGTCCGCGCAAAGATCCAGAGTGAAAAAGAAACATCTACGCATAATTAAACGCCATTGACCAATCTTTACTATAGCAAGTTGTGGTGAGAGATTGCAGATAGGTTTCCCATCTCAACGATCCATAGATGGCCCTCCTAAGGGGCTTGGGTGTCATCTTCTCAGGTCGACCACTTTGTTTGTCAGGTGTGTGGAAATTTTGAAGAGTGTTGACCAAAGTTAAAGGTATAATTGCTTGAATCTCGACCCGAGTTTACAAATTAATCTGACTTACTATGTAGAATCGCCTATAGAATTACACCAACTATTTGAGGACTATGCGAGTATAAGACTATTTGAGGATCTCCTGAACTTGTTGTTTGGATGCTGTTTTCAAGGTCCATGAACCTTTTTCACATTTTTTGATTGCACAACCTGTTGGCATGTTCGCGGTACATCGTGGGCTCCAGAAAGAACGATTCGCTCTAGGGCTCATGGCGGCAACAGCGCAAATAGCGAAGTCCCCACTTCATCTCAAAGCACCGAAGACCAGTTGTACGGATCGGGGCATGTTTGGGGTGTTAGCTTCCACTTCTTGGAATTCAAAGTTCTGACAGCCTGGAACTGAAGCATCGAAGCATACCCCCCAAATGAAAAGACTATTCAGTCACTCTGTGACCATGGGCGAAAGCAAAAAGGAATCACTGCTTGCTTATAACATGAGGTACGACCCTTTCCAAGGACCCCCAACAAGATCCAACAAGTCTCAAGCTCCGTCATGAACCAGTTCTTTTTCCCTAACAAACAATGGCGTAGTGCAATGGAGCTGCGGACCGGCGCGCCCTTGCAAGTGCGCGTGGAGCGCCACTCCACGGCACTGAGATTTGAGGGGTTGCGGGCCAGGCGGGTCCTGCTATCCACTCCGTGGCGTGAAAGATCACGCGTTTGGGGTGGTAGCTGCATGTAGCTGCCCAGTTAGTGTTTGATGATGTTTATGTGAAGCCTGTTAAGATCTACCTTGTGTTTGCTTGATTGCTTCTTCCATATCGTGTTTGAGGCTTTGATTGCACCCCTTTCCTGATGCCTCCATGTTCCTTCTGCGTGAGTACCAAGGACTCGGCAATGAGGTGCAGGAAGACGCCACCGATGGCTGGTGAGGTCCTCGGGAAACACCTCAGAAACCCTTTTGCTGCGTCCGGTTAGGCCTTACAGTATGTCCCACAGTTCTTCCTGTTTGTGTCAGAGAGGCAGGGGATGATTGGCTTATATATAACATGAATGTGTTGCATGTGACGTGCATTGTTTGTGTGTTCTTTTTCTTCAGCAAGTATGGCTTACAGATGCTTGCAGATCTGTGTATGTTTGCTGCTGTAAGTTGACCAACACCTCCCGGCACGCAGAGGAAAAGATGAGGAAAAGACTGCAATGTATTAGGCTGTGTTTCATTTGGGGTGGGGATTTCATGGCCCCGCTAAGGCTGACTGTTCTATGTCAAAAGACACTTCTCTTTAGATCGTCCTAAGCCCCTTGCTCCACAAGTGCTCGTTGCAAGAGCCGCAAGTGAGTGACGATCATTGCTCTCCACTTCACAGCATCCTCCAAAACCTCCACAGCATGGCTCAAAAGCCTCTATAGCCATATATGACGACACAATCCGAAGCATCCCCAAAGCCCTTGAGCCCTTGAGCCCCTCAAGCCCACCATACCATGGGCCTTGATGCCCGCCCGCGCATCCCGTTGCAGCACGATGCGTCGGTGCGTTGGGCGTTCGCTTTTAGGTCTGTGCTTGGAGAGCCTGGCTTTCTGACGCTTCAACGCTGGAGATCCCAAGGGCGAGAGGGCCTTTGGTGGTGACCCCGAAGGAGTTTTTGAACCTGTCGAGGAAGTTGCACCTTAGACGCCCTGGAGTTGAAAGCGGAAAACGTTAAGATGATACTGCTTTACAACGGTTTACGGTATAAGGTATACGTGTTTGTGTGTGTGTGTGTGTGTGTGTGTGTGTGTGTGTGTGTGGGGGGGATGTTTTTTTGGCGTGCAGTAGTGCCATGGATTTGAGAAGTACTATCCAACGTTGTTGCGTCTTCAGCAAAGTTGTCAATGCGATCTTTACTCGTTCCAGGTGAAATGCAAGACCCTTTTGAACACCCACCACTTTTGGCAATGCTATAGAGTCCTAAACTGTCCTCAACATCCCTGACAGTGTGTTCAGCCAAGATGTGCTATCTCAAGTGATACTTTCCATTCTTTGTGAACACCACATGCTCATGGCTCATCAGTGCTGCCATCGACTGGAAAGGCATGTGGTTTAGTAGATAGTTTTTTGTTTGGTTTCAACCTGTTGCACTTGTTTCCTTGGTGATGCTATTCATGTTTTGTACCACTGTTGCCGAACAATCCACTTAACCTGTTCTTTTGGTTTTTATATATATATGCGTTGACATGGCCATGGCCATGGCATGTTGAGATCTACTGCACGTCACACACTTGCCGCCCTTCATGGTTTGACTCGCTTGAGTTTCCAGCGATGCCTTGCCACAACGCTAGAGCAGTGGCAGAGGCGATGCGATCGATTAGCTTGCCTCTTGAGAAGGATTAAGTTCCCGAAGCTGAGCGAGTTTGAGGCAGGTGGCGAGACATACGCGCTGCCCCTGCGATCAGTGGCTCCGCCACGCGACTTGCCAACCCAAGCAGAACTTGAATATTTGGTTGGCTTTTTTGATGGCGACGGGTGCGTGTCAATGCGCCGTGCAACTGGACAGGTGGCCCTTGAGGTGTCTCAGGCGGAAGGTTCTGCTCAGATTCTGATTCGGTTTCGGGAAGCCCTTGGTGGTGGCATTTATCAGCAGGGTAGCAGGACTGGGGCGCGGCAAGCAACTTTAAAATGGAAAGCCGGGGGCGATGCTGCGAGGCAAGCCGCACAGCTGATGTGCCGTATTCCTGGCATGAAGAGAAGGCAGTTGGAAATTGCAGCTCAAGGTCCAATTCGACCATCCCTAAAAGATGAAAGAGTAGACGAATTGATGGCACTAAGAAGCAGCAATCAGAGACCAGAAGTTCTAAGGTGCTCCTGGCAGTATTTAGCCGGCTTCTTTGATGCTGAAGGTAGCATTAGCGTGAGTCATTCCAAGACATCGCTGCAGTTGCACTTGGTACAGAGGAACCCTTGTGTATTGGAAGATATTTTGACATTTCTTTGCCAAAACAAACTTGATCGCTGGCGACTGTACAATCATAACTATTGCTTCGTGTTGTGCTGTGGACATTTAGCAACCAGCAAGCAGAGTTTGGAGCACTTGCTGGATGCTGGACTACAGGTCAAGCTAAAGCAAGCAGAACTGGCTCTTGCGCTAACTGCAGAAAACCATAGGGAGGTCCGAAACGCCGTGTTTGAGCTTAATGGCTTGCAGAACAGGTACCAACGCCTTGATGAAGATGGCATCGAACGCTCCAAGCAAATTAAAAGAATGTACGACAAGTTGTACAGGACCAGCTGTCAACAGAAAGCTGAGCTGCTGCAGAGTAAACTGCAGGAGCTTCAACAAGAACATGTCTTTCTAAAGCTGCAGTCCAAGTGCAATGCGTTGCGCAGGGACATCCGACAGTCGCTCAAAGACGGCGGTTTCATTCAGCACTCTTAAACTGCCCGCATCAGCATACCTGGTAAGCGCTGTCCATTTGCTTTGACGCCTGGTGGTTGGGTTAAGCTGCGCAAGACAGATTTGCAGAGAAAGGTTATGACCCATTTTGACAAACAGTGAGTAAAACAAAGAACGACCTTGTTGTCATTTGCTTTGAAGCCTCCTCCCCTGCATGGTGCAACACCGTGCCACTTCCTTTTTGACAATGTCCTCAATTGCATTTCTGCCACATGCAAGTTTGAAGGGCAAGCATGTGTGTGTGACAACCCGTTCCCATGTTTAAATTTCCCCTACCCAGTCGCACCACCACCCACCGCCCGTTGCTTCACCGAGAGCCACACACCCCAAAGGCCTGGGGCTCTATCCGCGCACTGCGCGGCAGCCCTTTGCCACGGGCCTCCATGGTGTGGCGGAAGAGTTGCTCAGATGCTTGGTGCAGCTGCGACAGGGTGTGTATGTGTTTGCGGGAAAAGGGTGAGGGAGTGGGTGAGGGTGGCGATGTGACAGTTGGCAGTTCATTGTAGACCAAAAGAGTTGCATAGGTGTCCGTTCTTCTTTCAATACTGATATCATGATATGTTATGGCAGTGGGCTTTGGGCAGAATACCTTCGGGCAGTCCATTTCTTTTTTCTGAGCACCAGAAAATGCGGACGGTTTGGGGACATATTAGCAAAGTGTGCGAAGCCTTGGCGAGGTTTCAGAAGAACCTTCGTCAAGAGAAAGATTGCACGAGCAGTAGTGGAAATCAATCGCCACACACACACACCCCATCCTTTTGCCTTTGATCTCTTCAAGCTGGTGTATCAGTAACCTTTGATCTTTGAGAGTGTCAACCCGAGCGGCCCAAACTTGAAGACCTCAAGGGTGGTCAGATTCTTGTTCCAATGTGATGGAGCGGATTGGCTGATTCAGCCAAAACGGACCAAAGCTGCCAGGATCTGTTGGGTTTGGAAGGTCTCTCACCTACCTTGAAGCCGCTTTGGTAGTCTCTCACCCTGCGTGGCCACCGCGTCGCGGACCACTGAGGACGCGCAGAGGCGAAGAATGCCTTGGACGCTCAGTTGCAGAAGACGCTCCGAGCGGCACAGCGGCTGAAAGAGGCCGGGTGCTACGGGAGTTCCTTGGCTCAGACAGTTGAGGATGTTGAGGATGGAACCCCCAGGTCAGAGCCAATACAGCTTTGTAGAGAGAGAGAGAGAGTGACTTGTATTTCTGTTATTATGCTATGACACACACACACACACACACATGTGCAGCCGTTTGGCTGAAACATTCAATTCATGATTGGCTTTATCAGCATCTTTCAGCTGATCATGATAGCAGTATGGCCACCCTGAGGACCGCAGTGACCCTGCACCATCCCTCTCACGTATATATTCCGTTTGAAGGACATGGATAGCTGCTGCAGATGACGCATTGAGCCATGACACAAGGTTGTGTGTTTGCGTTTCTGGTTCAGAAATGTGTGAGAAAACGGGTTCTTTACCGCAGCCCCAATGTGCGAAGTCGTGACCTCATGCCCTGCTTATGCCGAGGCTTGACCATTGATGAGCTTTTGGCTGTGATGCTTTGCGTTGGGCCGAGACGCTGGGCCGCACCGGGAGCCACTGATGAAGCCAATGGTAGAAGATTGTGTTATATAGAAGAAATGTAGCTGAGATGGAGGGAAGGTCTTAAGATGATGGATCACACAATAATATTAAACTTATAATATAGTTACATATCCTCTACTTACTACTCCACTTCATGCTACATGTCAAGAGATTTGTGTGTTCTTCAAGGCAACTAGAAGAATAGGACTGCTTGTTTCCACTTTCCATTTGTTGCTTCTGTATGGCACCAAATTGATTTGCAGCGGGGAGCGGACACAGATGCTTCGACTGCTCTGAGGTTCGGGTGGGCCGATGGCCCTTCTGCCACATGTGCAGGAGTTCATGACTAGACCTCTCCGCCAAGGGGAGTGAGTGAGTATACTGAACAAGAACGCTGTTTAGCAGGAGATTATTGGCTGTTGAGTCCATGCTGTCATTTGCTGCTAAGCAGTGACTACTAAACAGAGGGCTAGCACTCAGAACCCCGGAAGGGGAGCGGTTGAACATGAACACAATAGCAAATCAGTTTCCCCTCACTCGAAAACTTGACACATCCCATCCTGGCTGTTAAGCAGCCAGTTCAGCAGTGATGTTCAGCAGCATGTTCAGCAGTTCAGCACCCATGACGCAGCCCCGCTCCGTCCTGACGCAGCCCCGCTCCACCGCTCACCGCCACCAGGAGGACACATGGTTTGCGGCCTTGAACCTCTTCTTGGCCTCGAGGCCCGGTGTGTCTCCTATTTGGGTTACTTCAGTGAGAGTGAGGACGACGTAGTCTTTTGGTTAAAGTCGCCTCTTAACTCTTGGATGGCCAATTACTACTGAAATTTGAGGGAGGAGATCCTGCATTTTGAAGAACACCAAGCCCTGCACGAATCGCGGATGATTCTTCGCAGGCATCCTGAAGCTCCTGAGCCAGGCAAGGTGGGAAAGCTGGTCACTGTGTCACGGTGGATCACCTTTTGATGTATTGTTCCACTTTGGGGGTTTGGGAACCCCACAAAAATGCATGCTTTTGGTGAATGCATGGTTGCCATAAGGTGTTCATTCTCCATAGCTTCAGGTGCTAGCAGTACATACGGCAGCTCCCCTGTCCGGGAACCGTCGCTTTCAAGCAGTCTGGCAGGCGGCTCCCGAGGCACCATCAGCACGGAGCGCTTGTGGGAGGCCGCGGGAAGCCGGACGAACCTTCCGGACCTCATCCAATTGGTCGCCGATAGGAAAACCCCGGTAGGCCTTAAATTTGTGCTGTGTATTTTTCCATGTGCTTCGTCACAGTCTTGAGGACAAACCTGATTTTGTTTGACATTCGGACCCCTTTCTAGCGATGGGCATGAATATTATTTATCTGTTGGGCTTGCATAGAGGCGGGTCCTTGTGGCGTGCAGAATGCCAGCAGAGCCCAAAAATTTGAAGGCAGTGCTCCCAACCCCCTGGGCCCTAACACCCATCGACGGGCCGTCGACCCCTCCAGCTGCTGCTTTGAATTCGCAGGTGTTTCTGGGAGATGTCATGGCCGGATTGACCAGCCTTCGGCTGAGGCAGTCCCAGGCAGGAATGTTTGGTGATGGGATTCAAGGGTTGAAAGTTGACAGCAGATGGTCAATTGTTTTATCTGCTTTGCCTTTTCCAGCGATGTTTGGTTGATGTTTAGGGAGATGCTTGGACACTGTTTGCCTTCGGAGGAGCTCTCACATTGTTACCGACTGTGCTGGGTACCACTACAGCTTTGGCAACGCCTTGAGAGCTTCTTGGCTTCGAAGGGCAAGTTGCTGCAAGGGTTCTTTTGCCGTGCCAGTTAAATGTCTTACGGCAAGGCACTGCAAGTCCAAGTAAATATGTCCCACACTCATCGTGAATTCCAGGCCTTGCCAAGTTGGCATGTCTAGGAAACTGGATGGTCACTCGATAGTCACATGTTGCATAAATGAGTGCTTGCATATCAATTCGCCATGTGTTTCACATGTAAACCCTCAGACTGCTCGTTGGCACCACCAAACTTGAGGTGCTGATGAGGATCAATTCCTGTGCTTCGATGCCATGCAAAGCGTGGGGGGGACCCAGGAACTGACCCAGGTTTTCAGCAACTGCTGTCCACCGTGTCCGCTTGTTATTCTATATTTGGGGTAATAACGCTGGATTAAACCCCATTTTTGGTGGAAAGATTGAATGTTGATCTTTGTATAGTGGGATTTTATGTTTGTTCAATGAGCTGTAGACGTGTTGTTGGATGCCTTGTGTGACCTTTACTTTTTGGATTAGCGCAGTGCTGACTCTTGAGCTCAAGTTTGGACAATGGCTTGATCACAGAGAGATGCTGCTGGCAGTGCGCTCTGTGCTATCTCACCACCACTCCATTCGCCATGTTCACCTCACGACGTTGGCGGCTTTGCTCCCCACGAGCCAGGTCACGGCACTACACTTGGCAAATCGGTCACCTCAACGATACCAAGAGAAACTGAATGTCATCTCCAAGCGTTTGAAGGGTCACATGAACACACTCAGATGGCCGACTTTGAGGCATTTGGAGGTTGATGGTGTGCGATATGAGCTGCCGGTGAAGTCAGAATGCTTTGGCTCCGCCTCGAGGTTTTGGACCCAACCAGAAGCAGATGTCGTGTACTTGGCTGGCGTTTTTGATGGTGATGGTTGTGTTTCTTCTGAGAGCCGCTTGACAGGCTGCGCTTTGTCGGTGGGCCAGTCACTCTCCGGCCAAGCAATTTTGCTGGCATTCTGTCGGGCGTTTGGAGGTACCATTGGCATCCTCAATCAAGGCAAGGGGAGTGCACGCCCCGCGTTGTGTTGGAGAGTGTACGGAAACGCGGCTAGTTTGGCAGCTGCAGCATTGCATAGCCATTGCCATGTCAAGCAAGAGCAGCTTGGCATCGCTATGACTTGGCCTCGCACTACATGTGAGAGAATACAGAGCGCCTCAAAGCTCAAGGCCCTGAAGACAACGACACAGAAAGCTGTTTCAAAACATGCCTTGTCATGGGAATACATCACTGGATTTTTTGATGCTGAAGGCTGCATTAAAGTTATGCCCAGTAGCAAGTGTGTCAGGCTAGTTTTTGCTCAGAAGGATCCTGCTGTTCTCCAAGCCATTCAGAAGTTCCTGAATGCCCACTGGCCCCTGTGCGGTGCCAAAATCTACTCAGAGCCAACCTGCCTCGATATTAACAGGAAGGAAGCTGTTTGCAACATTTTGAGGAAAATGCTGTCTCACGGGCTGCTTGTCAAGAGGGCAGAAGCCCAGCACATTCTGGCATCTATAGAATCCAAATCGTCACACTCACAGTTGCGCAGCACCAGCGGCCATAGGAAGGGCTTTCAATCACGGTACCGTCGGCTAGATGCTGATGGATGTGTCAGGGCCAGGAATATCCATAATCTTCAACGCAGATTGAATGCTGCCTTGACGGTACGTCAAGAAAAGGTGAATGTTGCAGATTTACAGTCGGAGCTTGCCGCAGCCAAGAGTGAACATAGGTTTTTGACCACGCAGACTCAGATACAAAAGCTCCGAACAGACATTGCTTGCCTTGGCCGCATGAGACAAGTTGTTGTTGACACCGGCTGCTTGGATCCACTGGTGGATTTGCCGGAGATGGAATAAGCGATGGTTCTTGGCTCCACTGGTGTCAGCTGTCCCGAACTAGAAGTGTGAGAAGCGAAGCAGACCGGAGACCGATGTGGTGGTGGCATCAGAGCTGGCATGGCGCCGATGTGGCGGTGCATCAGGCATTCGCAGACAGAAGCAAGGAGCCAAGTGGCCGTTTCTGGGCACGGTTGGCTCACACTTCCTGACCTGATTGCACCTGATCTGACTTCACTGCTCCTTTTGGAGGCAGAGCTGGTCCAACACAGGGACAACACTGAAGTATCCTGCACTACTGAAACAGCGAAGTGCCCCAAAGCCAGGGCACTGGTCAGCTTTATAACTGTAGGGGATGGCCAAACCTTGCATTTTGGATCACTCCAGGGGCCTAGGGATCGCGATGGGCTCAAAAGAAAGTGAGGGAGAGCCTCATAAAAGTTTATTAATGCTGAACAGTCAACCACAACCACCCAGACAGAGACGTTCAATTGTCGCACTATGTGTAGGCAGTCCACTTCGCATGCTTCCAGACCTAAGCTGAGTGGCAACTTGACCTGAGGTGGCGAACAAGGAACCTTGGCATTGCTTAGAACTTTTGCCACAGGGTTGCGTGCCGCCACTTGGACAGCAAGGACCTGTTACGGGTGGAGATCATTGTTGACTGCAAGAGTTCCTTTTGGAAAAGACGTGTAGTATTGGGATCTATTTCAAGGGTGTGCCACCGAACTATGTCTGGGAGTAACTATGTAGATTTCTCTTCAGGAAGATTGCCAGCCATTGATGGATCGCGAGAGAGTGACGGAGAGTTGAGAGGTCAGTCAGTCGGTATTGTGGACTCTGGATGACTCCCTCGTAGAGAGCTGTGAGAGGTGGGGGGGCAGCGGGCCGTGAGCAGGAGCTGTTGCTGTTCTCAACGTTGCCATGTGAGGTGCTTGTTGGAGTTCGACACGCACATTGCCCGACAAGCAGTTGATGTGCACGAACTCGCAGCTGCCATCGAAGGCCTCTTGCTGGTGCGCGGGTGTAGGTCTTTATGTAAGGGAGCCATCATTCTTGCTTGTGCACTCTATCGATTTGTATGATTTTGCATATGTATATTTATATGTACAGTATTTATCAGCCAGCAGTATATTTATATTCTGTTAAGCTTGGCTGCTGCGCTGAGCTCAGGAAGCGAGCTACCTGAAGGTGCAACGGCCGAGGCCTGCCCAACAGAGGCTTTTGGTGTTTTCATACTTAGCATTTTTGCCGGCATGGCATGGAGAGTGGAGACCTCCACCAGAAACCGGCCTTGGCTAAACTTTCGATTTCCATCCCATCAGTTCGTGCTTGTCAGGCTACTTTAGCTCTTTGCGGCTTGATGCTGTGCAACACTGCTCACTGGCTTGAGCTTCCCTATATATCTTTGCGAGTACCGTATCAAGCTGGTGAGCTTCCAACAGAACCAACACCACCTTACTGGTTTTGTTGGTTCTTCCCTGCACCTCCCCAACAGAACCGTTCCGTTTCTGCTCGTTTTGGCAGCCTGGGACGAGGCGCACGAGCTGCTCCTGCCGCCCTTCCTGCGTGGCAAGCTGGGACAGGTGCGCCGCGCCCCTGCGCCGCCACCGCCACAGCCTTGGTCAACGCATGGAGATCCTGGATTGCTTTATTTGTATGTGAACAAAAAACTTAATAACAACACGGCATAATACCATATTCAAAAGAAGTTAGTTAGCACTTAGTTAGCTTCAACAACGTACAGCTATATATACGCATCATTTTCCCATATAATTACATCGGCTACTTATCCAGGCTCGGAGAGAGAGGATTGTGCCGTCATATATGGCGATTATATAGCTGCTTCATCTCCTTCCGCTGAAGGTATCACTTGGAAGTCTACCACCTGGAGATCCTGGGCTTCCCGGAAACCGACCTCTCCGAGACCTTGCTTCAGTCCCCTCCGGAGGCCACGGGGCAGCTGGATACATCCGTCTGTGGTGACCACACCGGGCAAGTCTGTTGAGCGCCACATCCGTGTTGCAAGGCTATGGCTGCATGGAGGGGAGGGTTTGTCAGGTTTGTTTGTGAAGCTTGGCACTTTGTGGGTGATGAGTGTGTTGTTTTCTTCATCCTAAGGTGAGAAAAAGAGAGTGTGAGTGATCTCAAAGCTGGGCATCAAGAGTGTGAAACAGGCCATCTTGGCGGCCTCTCTCCTGCTGAGCTTGCAACGCTCCAGAGAGGCTCAGCCGAGTGGTGGGGTTGGTTCGACTGTTTTCGTCGATGAAGCAGTCATGACAGTGTTGGCGTATAGATGTGGGAAGGTCGCGTTTGTTTGAAAAGCGGCGGGTCATGTTCAGGAAACGGAGATGGTTGGGTGAGTGAGAAGTACGGTACAGGATTCTTTTGCATGCTCTTTGCGCACAAACTTTGGGGGGCTAGTGACAGAAGCACTGCAATCATTATATAACTACATTTGATGTATTTTGATGTATTGATTCCGACTGATTCATTTTCGAGGTGAGTCAGTTCAATGAAGCAGTTGGGTGATGTACCAGACGGACACAGATAGCTTGAGCTTTGCTCCGATGTACCAGACCTGCCTTGCATCGAGTGCTGAAGAAGATCATGCGTTCGTGCGACTGCCTGGCTGGCGTATACTCATTGGTATATGGATGGTAGTCGTGCACTGCGTCGCAGGAGCAGCACGAAGCGGGTTTCACCTGCATCGCTCCAGCCGAGAAGGAGGCAGAGTATCGATGTGCAGCGCTCGGACACGGGAGGGACCGAGGGACCTGAGAACAGTTCAGAGGAAACACGTACTACACTTCCCTGGAACGTGTCCTTCATGGTTTCGTGGATGGCATGGCTTGTTGGATGATCCTTTTCCTTTACTTCGATACTGAGTCAGAGTGTACACTCCCTTCAAACGTCCTTCATGGTTTCGTTCGATGGGATGGGAAAAGACCAACAAGAGGTTGCTGTTTTCGCTCCACTTATCCATGATAATTTCAGGGTTCCGGTATGTACCATGGTTTTGAAGGTGGTGTTTTCTTCAAACTTGTCTTCAAACGGTGCCTTTCAAACAATATTCTGACATGTATCTATGGTACTGGAGGCAGGTATGACTGAACTTGGTGACCAGATGCTGAGATACCGAGGTGAGAAGGCTTCAGAAGAGAAGGAGTGGTGGGACATGACTTGACATGACGAAGTATGTGGCCTGGTGTGTTTTTCGCTCGAAAGCATGGAACAGTTTGGATGCCTCCTCAGGAGCATTTTGTAATGCAGTATTTACAAGCGTGTCCAATTCTTTGCCAGTAACCATTCCAGCCTTTCTCCATGAGTTTGCAAAAGCCAACCCACCAACCGCGCGACCGCGCAGGACACGTCGGATGCCACGTTTCCGCCACCCGCGGTGCCTCCGGAGACTGCTCCACCTGCTGAGCAGGTGTGGAAGTCGTGGTGTGCATCGGAAGGGCGAGGATTCGCCAACACAGATGATAGCGTTTTGGAGATATATTGTGGAGTACCATCCAAAATTTATGCGATTCCCTGTTAATGTTGGTCATGTATCGTTTCAATGTCTGAACGTCACCTATATCGCAACCACTGCAGATCCGAAAGAAACAACATGTGAGGCTCTAGTCTCCAGTCTAGACTTGCCCAAGACTCCCCACTTCCGAACCCACCACGAAGCCGCTCCTTCGGAGGCCCCCGAGGCGCCGCTTCGGCGGACGCTGCTGGCATTGGCCTCCGACTGCTTCGCGCAGCTCGCGGAGGCCGTGGAGGTGCCAAAAAGCCGCCGGTTCGGAGGGTACGCTCAACTAAGCTGGTGTGACAACTGCTTTTTGTAGAATATTCCATAACATTCCAACATGAATCATGAGGACCACACACCGGGCATTCCACTGAAGGAGGCCGGCATTCCGGAGCTTCTTTCCGATGTTCTTTTTGTGTGCGTGTGTGATGATGTTCAACGTCGAGGAACATCATGACATCACGGTGGTGTATTGAGACTTTTCTGGATGTGTGACTTGTGATACATGTTTTTTGTTTTTTTTTAATGTTGTTTTGTAGTTCTAGGGTTCGGGGGGTGGCGGTCTTTGCATCCTTTGTTGGAAGCATGTTGTACGTTTGTGGATGTGCAGGTGGCCAAGAGTTGGCACATTTTTTTTGACCCTTGGGATCTCGTTGGCCGCGATGTGTTGGAGGCAGAGCAACAAATGCTGCTCCTTTAGACACTTTCGTGAGCTCACTTCATGAATTCATAAACAGGTATGACATGGTATGACAACTATAAGCTGGTAACGGGTGACTTAATGTGGGTCAATATGAAACATTCCCGAACATTCCAACATGAATCGCGTTTTGTTTCTTCACCAAGATCTTCGGGTCAGCTGTCACGCCGTCGGGATGCAGACCACCCCGGAAAACCGCTGGGGGAGCCGGCCGTGGCACCAAGGTGCGACACCTGGGCACGGTGAGTACCGTGTGGAAGGGCTACTTGGAATGCGCCTTAGATGGCACCAACTTCTGGAAGGCTCCGGTCCTTTTTTTCCGCGCCAAAACGAGCTGCGCCTGCGACGTTTGGGGGTTTGAAATGGCTTTCATTTGGAGACTTAACGCTTGAAACGGCCAAAACACACTGAAGTTGAGGGAGTTCGTTCTGTAGACTGCCGTGATCTCACGTTCGGTGGCGCGCTGCTTTGTCGCCACAGGAGGTGGGCGAGGCTCTACAGATGGGCGTCTTCGGAATGGCGAGGAGGGGCAGTGGAGGGTAGGCAGTGGTTGGACTGGTTGGTGGCGTGAGTGGGAACAACTGGAAGAAGTAAACGCCAAGATCCACCCGATATAATGGTTGATCTGGGGCTGAGTCTTAATACGCTTAATAATCGTATGTTGGTCCTTCATGAGCGGGATTCCTAGTATACAAGCATATACTTACAGACTGAGGAGCACTGTCATCACCATGGCAAGACCATAGCAAAATGATGCAATATGTTTGGACTCCACATGCGGACGTGAAATGAGTTCCGTCACTGACTCCGCTTGATGTGGTCTACTGGGAGACGATTGATGGCATGACTTGAGCGACTTAGCGACCTGGTTGAATTCTAATTAGCTTCACTTCAAGGCACGCAGCACACAAAGGGCCAACTGACATCTTCCAAAGCACTGGTTTGGAGGAGAGAGAGAGAGAGAGAGATGGTCTTTGGTAGTTAGGTCCAAGTTCAGAGAAAGCTCGTCGTTGAGGATCTTCGTTAGCTACAGATCGATTTCCACACGCACCGCTGATTTCAACACCGACTGGAAGAACATAGAGAGTTGTCGCTCCTCTCTTTTGGCCAAGAAAAAAAAAGACATCCAAAAGTGCCGGTTCCAGCTGCTTAGCTCAAAAGAAGCTGGGGGTCGTCTCGAGTGTGAAAAACTCGACAGAGCCCAAGCCCGGGCGAAAGCAATTGGGCTGCGGTGTCTAGATGGAGTCCTCACATCCGGGTAGCAGAGTGTATAGAAGTACCACGCTTTGCAGGTTGCACAGGTTGATTTTCACACATGTTCACATCTTAGCACGATCTGCAAGCATTCAGCCCCCCCCGCCAAGTTTCAACTCAACCAAGACTCCAAGATACTTTCAAGATCATCTGCAGACTGTTCCAAGTCCCAGCTGTTCCACTTACTTCCAACCTGAAGATCTGCCACGCCGCCCAGTCGTGCGCCTATTCCTCCTGCCATGAGCGCTGTTTGATCGTACCGGTGCCGCGGCGTTCATGCTACGGGAATTGCCACGTCTTCTACGGAAGCCGCGGAAGAATGCCAGCCTTGTGTTGCAGGCAGGGGGAGCTGGGTAGAAGAGGGTAGAGGGCTGCAGCTGACCGCACGGTCCCGAAACGAACCGCGGCCGAAGTGCGGGCGCTGTTGGTTTCTGTTGAACACCCGCAAGACCAAACACTTGGACACCCCACCGAACCCCCCTGGCAGCGCTCATCTTGTTTCGGGGAGATGAAGGTTTTGGAGGGGGGCTTCGGGGCTTCCGGAGTCCAAATATCGGATCCCAAGCGAATTCCGGACGGAAGAAGAAACGACGGGGTGTGTGGGGGAATGAACGAAATGTGAAGGCTCCCGCCACCGACGGCCCAGGCGTTGGTTTTAAGTCTCATGTTGGGTTGGCAGACGTGGCACCTTCGAGACCTGGACGTGGCTTAGCACTGGCTGCGCAAGCGCTTGCGATGGGCAACGGGGAAGGAGTGGAGTTCAAACCACCATGTTGACCAATTTGCATTCAATGCTGCTCCTCAAATGGTTGGTTCCACGGTTCCATAGAGAGAACGACGTAGTTGCATGCCTATGAGATGGGGAAAACATGGGACACACAACGTGAATCCTGTTGGTCGCATGGAAACTGTTGAAGCCTGCGCTCCCAAGGCACCAAATCCGATGAATGGCCTCCTAGGAGAACTTGTTCTTTAGCAACCAGGTAGGGGGAATGGGCCCGGCCACAGATCACTTGCGAACTGAGTGCCCTTTGGAGATGCCCAACCCGACCACACTGAACCGGGCCCGTTTCAGGGTGACTCTGCGACGATCCCTTTCGGACCTTCCCCAACGCCCCTCCCCGTGGTGCTTCGGCTTTCTTGCCCCCCCACTCTCGATGAGGTGGTGGATCTAAGGGAGGTCGATCCAGAGTTCACAGTTGTTCAGTGGCCCTACGTGCCTCGGCAGGGCGGGTCGAGTGGCAGTGCCGCAGTGATTTCGGGGGCCCGTTCGTCCGACTGGCGAGGTCACATCGACACATCAGAGGGAAGATAGGGGAGGGGGCGGTTGAATTCATTTTGCGACCCACCCGCAAAGAAGATGATTTTGCAGAGGAACTTGGTTGTTGCTTGGGGTGATTTCTTTCCCTATGTTCCTGTGGGATCCTATGGGCCTATGGCGGCCTATGGCGGGGTGAATCCCTTTTCAGGGAATTATGAAGGAAGATGTTTTGCTGATTCCCGGTTCCTGAAGCAAATCTCATGGAGGATCAGGGTCGAAAGACCTCGCGAAGCCGGAGAGGCCAAAGTTCAAACGCAAAACAATCCCAGACTATCCATGCATAAAATTGTTACATGAGGTAAAAGGATGTAAAATGGGTAAATGCACTTATATAAATGCAAGTAGCTATTCGATAGATGGATGGTTTGGGAAAGGGCAACACCATCTGCTTGAGCTCCAAAATTCAAGATCCCTCTACTGCATATCATAAGTTCATGCAGCTCAAAATTGTTGAACTTGCATTACAATATATATGATTCACCGTATGTGTGTTGCTGAGCTAATGGTCACCCGTGGTCCTTTCATTCTCCGTCTCAATGGTTTTCGGCCGTAACTTGGTGAGAAAATGCCTGATTCGGCTCTTCTGGACTGAATGCAGTCAAAACGTATCACTCCTATAGCAACCGGAGAAATCCAGTTGGGGAAGCCCGGATTCTCATGTTTGCCATAATCAAAAGTATCCAAGAAGGGTGGGTGCATCTATATATACGGTCACGTGAGCAACTCAGACGGTTGGATCAAGCTTGTGTGAGGTAGTAGCGGCCACAATCTTTCTGATGGAGTTCTTCATTTGCTTTATAGTCATTTTGCTGCTCCGCTTGATGCCACTCCGGTCGAAAAAACACGGGCGTGTGGGGGTGTGACAGGGTGTGCTGTGTGTGTGCCTTTCAGTGGAAGTCCCACTGCCTCTTTGTGGGGAGTGTTGGATCCGGCATGGCGGACCATGAGGATAGCCCTTGAGACCCACCTAATTCAAGTTGGGTATATCTATACCTAGAACCTGCTTAACCCCTGTTTTGGAGCCAAAACATGGGCTTTTCATATCAAAACAGAGGTCCAACGGGTTCTGGGTAAATATATGTGGTTCCTTTCCATCAGAATCGAGCAACTTGATGGGTTCCAGTGGCTCGACATGGAGCCTAGGCATGCCTAGGCTACCTGCTAACCAAATCATCAGGCTACGTCTTTGGATGCTTTGCTTTCTTATTTGGGTCAGGGGTGATTTCGGGGGTGGTCGCCAATCTAGCTGTGACCTCATCATGACAGGTCAGACGGGTGACAGGCCTTTCTAGGCGTTCACCTACCCAAGCCCCAAACGCTGGAGAACGTTAACGCCTTGTTTTGCGGTTTGGCTTCTCCATGAAGCATCACCGGCATAACCTTCCAGAGAAGCGGCACAGCATGGTCAGTTTAGTCTTACAATGCCTTACTACCTCTCGCGCCAGAAATCCGCCGTGAAACGCGTCTGGCTTATGCAGGACACACTGGTCACAACATAAAAGAACTGGACAAAGTGGAGTCAAGAGTCGCACACTGGAATCTCCCAAGACTCCAGTGAGGAGGTGCGCAATCAACTGATACCCTTCGGGTGTCACATACGGAATGGCATGGTCGATGCAGCCTTGGGGCATGACCCGCCCACACGAGCGTGGTCGTGTCTTACAATGTCTTACATCTTCTGCAACCGAATTGACCTCGGAAAAAAAGGGAAGAAGTACTAAAGACTCTTTACAACTATAGAGAGGGGGCTTCCTTTCGATGAGTCGTTCTTTGTTGCCGTGGAGCCAAAAGCCCCGAAAGCCCCGAAACGCGCCCGGCCGACGCCCGGGCGACACCAGGCTTCACTTCAAAGATCCCAGTAGCGGTGAGGTGGTCTTCCTCCTGCGCCTTCGTGAGGTCCGCGAGGGCCGGTTTTGGGGGGTTTTGGCGGGGTCTCAGAGGTGTTTGGCCATGGGGGGGTGCCTTCCCAGATGCGATCGCAGCGACGGGATTGGAGAGGTATAGCACCTATAGCATACTATATATGCTATAGCTGTAAGATCGTCTCTATAGAAGTATGAGATGCGGTGCATGCCTTACAGACCGGATATATGATATATTTGATTGAGGAGGTCCCCATTTTCCATCTGACCAGCATCACATGGATTTTTCCATGCACGAGGTGGCTAGCTAGATCTGCCCCTATAGTTGTCTTTGTTTGGGGCCGGGCCCATTTCTAAGCCCTCTACTCTACTTAAAGACCCTTATCTTCACAAAGAATCCGTGAATTCATAGCCCCTCGGACGCTATGTCGATTCATCAGGGTCTCGTCTTTGATTCCGGGGCTTGTGCCCTTGATGGCCCTTGTGGCCGTTTTCTTCCACCCCTCTTAGTCAGGGTGTTTCATGCACACATCCGGAGCTTCTTGAGAGTTAGTCTTGAAGTCGAATTCGCCACAGGGATTCTGCTGATGTGGAGTCCAAACCCACCCTTGCACCTCCTTCATCCTCCCGGTCCTCCCGTCAGGTTGCAGAGACTTTGGCCTTCATCGCCTTCTTCGCCACCCGGAGAAGAGACTAGATCCGGTCCCGGTGCACACCGTGGAGGTGGATCGAGGGCGATCCAACTCGGAGTGAATCACGGCGCTTGTGGCTAGCTGCTTCGTAGCTGGTAGATTCCTGAGATGCCAGTTTAGAGCGCATCCAAGAACCAGCTGAGTTGGGGGGCATCGTGTTCATCATGTTCCATATAGAGAGCCTTGGTATTTGGGAGATCTTCTGCAGTTGAGGCTTTGGCACGTCTGAACATTCTCAGACCAGTTGCTGGCTAAGTTGGCTGTTGCCTTTCGCAGCGTTATCTTCCCCCGCAGTGGTGGTTGCTGCAGCTGCTTGTCCATGTGCACCTCAGGATTCTGCCAGCACCATACCAGCTTACTATAATAGCCACGAGCGTCCATGACATGTCACAGGGCTCACAATTCACCGTCACATGCTTCCCCACCGGACCCTTCGCCCCAGACGAACCCGGCGTGACGTCACGCCGTCACCGTTGGCGGTCCGCGCGCGGTCCGCGTGGGTCCGAGGCTGGCGTGTACTACGTCTACGTCTTGTGCCGATCACCTTTGATCCGTATGGGCGGTGGGTCCTTTTTTCAGGGTGAGCAGGCGAATGGCCCCGCGTGGGCGTTGGCGTTGGCGCGTGGCCGGGCGGGGTGGGGTTGTGGTGCAGGTGATGGTGGCGATGATTCGATGGTCATAGCACCTGCCCAAGAATCATAGCTATACAGTCGACCTGTATAGTGTAATCCATCACAAGAAGCTGTCCAGCTGAACTTACTACAGGCATTAGTTGCAGGATTCCGAGACAAAGCCCCAGTCCATTCCAAAAAGCTGTGAGGTCCTCGTGACTTGAAAATCCTAGCATCCAAGCGTCTTTTGCGGGCGCCCAAGCTGCCTTCTCAAACTCGCTCTAACTCGCCCAAGCTGCCGCTGCGAGCTCAGCTCTTCCCTGCTCCAGGAATATCGAGATCCATGGCACATCCTGCTTTGGACCTTCTTGGCACCACACCAGCGACTTGGTCGCCATCGGCACCGTGATGTCGCGACCAGTTGGGGCCGGTGGGGCCGATGTCAGGGGTCGGTTCGGGAAGAGATGAAGCGGCTTAGGTCTTAGGTCTTAGGTCATGTAAGTTGCCACGTTGGTCGGGTGCCAGGTGACCGATGGATGTGGTTGAGCAAATGTGGGACGACGGTGGAAGACGTGCCTTTGTATAGTACCTGTGTGTTGGTGTAGGGCCTGTGTTTGTTTTCTTCCGCGAGTGTCTTCACAACACCTACACAAATTGGAACTTGGCCCCCACAAATTGGAACTTGGCCCCCACAAGTCCACAAGCCATCAAAGGCTTTAACACACCCAGCTCCAGCGTCTTCATGGATGCACTCTCACATACAATGCAGCCGCAGTGTCATGCCCAGCTTTCCAGACGCCTCACACCGTGTCTTAGGTCTTAGCGCCGGTCCTGGCGCCTTCAGGCCACGAGCCGAAGTGTCGAACCGCTCAGGTGGGTGATGCAAAGCAGGCTGTACACCAAAGCCTCCTTGCCAGAGAGTGCTGAACTCATGCCTCTCAGCTGAGAGAAGGATCGGACGCGCCACCACTGTTTCTTTAAGTCACCATTAATAGTAGTTTTTGTTGTTTGAATAACGGCCTATATTGCGAGAGCTGTTGTCAGCTACAAGTACCTGTGTTAAGTCGTTTGGTCTTGTAGAAAGTCGCCTGGATGCTGCGTTTACAATGGGGTTAGATGCAAGATGGCAATATAACTGGAAGAGTGTCAGGTCAACAACATTATTGTTTGGATGTCCTGGACGCGTCACCACTAGGAGCAAGGACGCTACTAGGGGCTCCTGGCCTTACAACTCGGAGCAAGAAGCTCCTAGGGGCTCCTGGCCTTACTACTAGGAACAAGAAGCTACTAGCAACAAAGGGCATCGCTACTAGGATCCAGGGTGACGATTTGCAGTCACCGGACATTCTTTGTTGCTTGAATAACGGCCCATATATTGCGAGAGCTGTTGTCAGCTAAGATCCATTTTGCTGGACCTAGTTATGTTTGCTAAATTATATTCAGTCTCAGCTTCATCATGGGGGGACTTGTTAATCCAAAGTTAGCAACAACCTGGAAAGATGAAACGTGCAGGTCAAAATCGCATGCGTGCCCGAGGATTTGCACCGGTTTTACCATGGTTTTTGGCTTAGTGGGCATCCAGGCGTACGTGGGCCCTGCTCTTTTTGGTGCAGAACAGAAGAGCGAAGTTCATGAGTTGCTCCAGTTGTTTTGTTGAATACTCCAGCATCAAGAATCAAGAGTATGGAGCTACAAGAAATGTTCTGGTGCCTTTTTGGGATTCAAGGACATTCAGGGAGACATCTAAAAGTTGGGCAGGCTTGTTTCTTTGTGGTTGGCATCCGCGCAGCGGAGAGTCGTTGGAAGTGACGAGCGGAGAGCCGCAGGGCGGTTCTGACGAGTTCTCCAGGTTGGAGGATAGAGTAATCCACTAGAGCTGCTAGATCTGCCAGATTTCTTGGAAGGACATGGACCATCATGGACCCAAATTTATGATCATGACGAACTTGGAGGATTTCGGATTGAGACCGTTTTTCGGCTAACAGCGAACAGTGTTTTCCACCAACAGCCAGTGATGATGCTGCTCAGCGTTCGCTTCGCTATCCCGAACGATCCGAAGATGCGCAGGTGGACATGTCCCAGGAGGATGCCTTTCTCGCACCTCATTGGCAGGTGCAATGGGATCTGCAGTGGAAGAAAAAAACATATGGTGTGAAAGAGGAAAACATTTATTTTTGATGTCTCCAGATTTGCCTTGGCTTGGCTTTGTCTATAGTCCCATCAAAGGGGAATCACCCAACCACACCTGTAGATCTTCCGCTTTGGTCCTTCTGTCGACCTGGCATCCACAGGTGCGATTGGCCTTCACGTTGTCGACGCTGTGCATGGTGACCACCTTCGTCAAGGAGCATCGCTGTGCATGTCGAGCGTCCCATTGAGGGGACGATCGGTTGGAGGGGGCTTTGAAGGTCAACACGGGATATGATTAAGGCTTAGACTTCTTAGATGAATTACCATCCCTCCAATTCGATGGCAAAAGTTAGTTTATTTGATTAATTGGGGGGATGTGTGCAGCAAGAAGGTGTCCACATGTGTCCACCATCCACCCAGGAGTTTTTCACTTTGCACCGGGCCAGGTGATGCCCAGCGCGTTGTTGTTTTTTTCCTCTCTTGGCCTTGCGCCACACAGATCCTCACTTGGAACCAAGGTGGGGCGAACCTCAGGGCCAACGGCTATAGCCACACCTGGCCACCAACGGCTTTTCCACATCCAAACCGCTTCGAAGCCAGGCCCACAGGCAACCCATGGAGCAAGCGACCGCCCTCACGGGCGGCTTCTATCTTAAGGCCGTCGGCCCATGGTTCCGTCGTCGGTGCCGAGGGCCACCACTGTTTTGTGCCGCAGCTTTTTCCACAGAACAAGGGAATGACCCTAAACTCTATACCTTAGGAAGCCTTAGGACCTTAAGATCCAGTGAGATGGGGATGTTCTTTTTTATTCGGATGACTTGGACTGGACGGGGCGCAGCTTCTTGCGAGCCCAGCTTTTTTCTTCGGGAGTGAGGAGATATTCATTTCCACACTTGTGGGCCGGTGACGCCGCCTCCTTTGCAGCATATGACTGCCAGGTGAAGTACGTGGTTTGGAGCTTGTACCCAGTGGTCTATGCACTGCGCTCCTTCGGATGGATCAGTCCATGGCAGGAAGAGGTCTTGTTCTATACCCCCCTCGATGCTCGGCTATGGCAAGTTGTGTTCGGCTTGGAGGGGGATTAACCGTCCAGGCTCTGAGCCCTGGCATGTTTTGATCATAAGTTGTTGTGAGTCGCTACCTAAAGGCAGTTACAGCCCGGAGGGCTCAAAGGTTCTATGTTTTGTTGTTTTTGTTGCGTGATGTCCTTGAAGTTGAAGGCTAACCTGGCTAGCCGCTCGCACGGCTGTGGTCAAAGCAAGCAGAGCGTAAGGCAAGGTTTCAAACAGGCAAGACATGTCTAGTCTAGTTAAATAGGTATATTATATTATTTCGATATGTATTAGGGTTGCTTGTTTTGCTTGCTGCTTGTTATGCTGTTAGTTAATGTTGCTGGAACTTGCTTTAAAGGAAAGGCCCGACTCGGACCCATTGCGTTACGGAAGGGTGTTTGTTCCACTTCGAATTGTGTCATTCAGTAGGCAAAGACCATTGTTGTCCCATTGGTTTCGACTGGCACATGAACGACCTTGCCAAAGCAAGAGATGGCCATTGCATGTAGTAAAGAATACTATCATATGGTTTCATTGACCAGGCTGTTTGTTGGCAAATGTTTTGCAAACTTGGTGTGGTGGAACGCACCCAGTTGACAGAGGAAAAGCCGGACTTTCAGGTCTCCACACCAGCAGCACTTATACTTATCTACATGTTTTACAGTATGTTATACTTATGTTGAGAGAGAGAGGGAGCAGGTTGGAGCAGGATGCGTAGACAGACATGTAACTATGGATGGACCTACGCGTTGCCGTTCAACACCACGATTTCGGAGCATTTCGGTCAGTGCTGTGATATATGGACCTTTGCCATTCACTCAGCCAAGGTGCTTTGCTTCTTGAGCAGTTGATGGAAGTCTCTTTCTTCAACTCATCTACCAGGTCCTTCAACTAAGTGGTGTTTCCTCCTTTCCTCCTTCGTCTCACTGGATGAAACCAACGCTAGGAAGACAAAAGGCTCTGCCGAAACGAGTCGTCTCGTCGTCTCGTCGTCTCGCTTCGCCCCAGGACGTGGTCGCCAAGTCTCTCTCGCTCATAGCTGCCCGGTTGAAGCTGAGCCAGGAAGGACTAGCCAGTTGGTGAAAGACGGGGATCCGGGTGAAGGACGAGCATGAGGCGTTCCGCTGCTCCAGGCCGTTCCGTAATATGAATGGGCCGTTCTCGCTGCGTTCGTCCTTCGGACCGCGGCGCAGTGCAAATTTTAATGCGTTTTACTCTTCTAGGAGACTTGTCCATCTTCAAGCTATACACCTTGGCACTCCACCCCCCAAAACCATCGTTTTCCCCCTTTCCCACCTCTGAGGCCAGCTCCAGTGGTCCCTTGTTCACGCTCTTCGTGAGCACCTGGGGTCACTGGACCGTGAGCGCCGGGGAGCACGACTTTCGGGTCACGGTGGCGGATCCCTCGTGGCAAGTGCAGCAGGTCGTCATGGACCGATCCCAGGAGCGGTGCCGAGCAGTTCCGCGGTTCCGCGGTGCCGAGCGGCGCAGCGCGGTTCTGGTCGGATGTTCTGCTTGGAGGTGAGAAGAGGTGAGGTGAGATGAGGTGAGGACCTTTTTGGTTCTGCATGGATTCCATTTTTGGGGTACATGGATTTGGGGGTATACTATACCCGAACGGCCTTTGTTTTGTTTCTCTTTTTGCCTCGGAAAGGACTTGATTCCTTGTTGGGTGGGGGGTTGGCTGACGGAAAGAAGTCCTTGGGGATGTCCGGAAAATACACAGTATGCCCATTGCTCCTGTTCAACAACATGTGTTTGAATTTGCTGAGCTGGAAGGTGGAGTGGTCTCCTCTTTTTGGAACTTCCAACCTTGCTGTCGAAAGAGGTGTCTTCTTCAGAGAAGGGAACTGTGAGTCTGAGCATCCATCAGATGAATGATATAATCATAGACTACACATGACGACACGTTCTCCAGACATAAGTTCCTCCCAAAAACAACAACAACTCTACAGGCCTTCCTTCCAACCCGACCCAACCCGACCTTCCACCCCATAGGACCTTGGCCAGCAGATCACCGGGCTCACGCCGGGCGTCAGCAACTTCCTCCGCGACGTGGTGCTGCCGGAGGATCGTCGGAAGCTGCAAATGGTCGCCAAGCAGGCGAGACGCCCGGCCGGGGCGACCACGCGACCACGGAGGTGTGCGGATTTTCAGAAAGCGTTGGGAGAGTTTGGGTGGTTTCAGAGCCAGGGCTTGTTGGCAAAGGGTGGACTTCTGGAAGATGAAAGTTCATTTTGCGATTCTAGCTCATGCATGTTCATGGCCAAGAAAGGACTGACTGACTTATGCATCGATTCCGCAATGTTCGGCGCACAGCAACATTGTGAAGAAACGTCATCCAATGGAAGGCTGCGGAAGAGAGCGCGGTATCCAAAAGAATCCCCAGCTACGGTATATTTACATGACATTTTAGTGCCAATTTTTGTTAATGAGAATTTTGCTGTCAAGCGATGGATAGGAAATCCCGATGAACTGTGAGGCAAAAGGCAGAACCATATTGTTAATCCCTATATAGGACTGTTAATTCCATGCTCCAATTTTTGCAACAAATCCAGGTCGAAACCTATATATAAATGCAGTTTGCTCTTGTAATTGCCACTTGCGTTTGACTACCAGGCCCCCAAAGTATTCTCGGGGTATTGGCAGCAAACCTAAGCATTTGCACTTCAAGACCTAGTTTGGCGTTTGGCTTGGCATTGACGCCAGCCAGCCGTTTGTATCGCCAGTATAGGAAGCCATGTTTGAGAGCCTCGATTGGTTTTGGTGTTTGGGTTTGTAGAGGTGCTGAGTTCACTGATACGAGTTTCATCAAGGAATTCGTATGACATCATCACAATATAGTATTTCTGGATGACTTTCGCTTTTTCAGAGTAGTGCAAGTGACAAGCAGTTTGCTCACAAGCTCTCCAAATCGGTTCCACTAAGCCTCCCCACTCTCCGTCCCACCCACGGCGTGACTTCCAGTTCGACCACGGCGCGTGCCCGGTCGAGTCCAGGTCGACAAGCAGTTGAGCTTTATGGCTCAGAGACTTGGTGCTGCTCTCTTGTTCAGGGGGTCACCATCCGCACTCGCTGATAGGGTTTCTCCTATGACCTATAACTGGGGCCGGCACACAATTATTAATACACATTTAGAGAGAGAGAGAGGGGCCTGCAACCTAACCATCATCATCCACTGGTACCTGGTGACGGGACACACACCAATTTCTAACATGTGTGTTTTGGGACATAGTTGCTTTGTTGTTTCTCCTTTTTTCCGGGAACAGTCGTTGTCATTTGGCTATGGGTCATTGAAACAGACTGTGTGGTGGTTCCAATGACGTACGTTGAAGCCTCTACGCAGGGATCATTAAGCCTGTTGACTGGTATGTATATTATATTATGTTTGTTGTCAAGGGGTGAAACAACCAAGAAGGATTTGGGCGTCTTTCAATGGAGAGCTGCCTCAGATTGAACAAAGTTTGGAAAGGCTTGAGATGTTGTCAGCCTGATGAACCATCAATGTATACATACTAGGCAATCCTTGTATAGACACCCCTTGGATTCCTCTAACACAACCTTGGATCTAATAAATTGGCTTCTCCTTCGCAAGGGGGCTGTGGTGAAAGTCTACTTGTCAAGTGCATCGATCGTTGCAATTTCTGCCCACGGCGCATCGAGGAAGACACCCTTTACAGTGATCTTGAAGGACGTCCGTGGCGCTCAGCAAGACGTCCGTCGCGTATACCATGACATCTCAAGAGATCGCCGTTTTTCCACCCCGGGGCAAGATAGAAGATATAACGTGATGAATCAAACAAGCAGTCAAACAAGCAGGATCCCGTCAGGTTGGTGTCCTTTTCTCATCATGGACGTTTCCCCTCACCTATCAGTACTACATAGTACTACCATGCAAGTATTAAATCTATCTCATCAATTGAAACATCTGTCAAAAGATCAAAAAGTTCTTCACTTCTCCGTTCTCCCCACCCTGTTCCAAACCAAACCGACCACCCCCCGAAACCGCGGGTTCCTCACGGTTCCTCACGGCAGGACATGACCGCGCCAGCCGAGTGCTACGTCTCCCGGAGCCTGTGGGGCTCGAGGGAGCTCGCGATCTCCTTGCGTCTCGGTGAGCTCAGAGAGAATTGTAATTACTAGCAAAGGAATCTACTAATCCTGAGTGGCTGAACGCTTCTTGTTACTAGTAAGGCACCTGTTACTAGTAGCGATGCACTTGTTGTGAGAAATGGGATCGATCCTGAAAGACGCCCCGGAGAAAGGTCGGAAGACCCAGTGTCTTAGAGGTTGTTAGAGCGTCTTGGAAGGTCAGGTCAAATATAGTAAACATGTCATGGTTTTGATATTTATTTGATTTGATCAGATGTGGCACCAGTTACATGTACATGCCATAGTTGTGTATATAGATGTATGTTTCACTGCATTGATCTCATTGAAGCGTGAGCTAAAAGTGTGTCTAAGCTTTGAATACAACCTTTGGGACTGTGACTTGGGGTCGTCATTATGTTTGTGAGCCTAAATTATAATTATCCGTTCATGGTAGCGGAGCCGCGGTTCTAAGACCCGGCTACCGACCGTTTGCGGATCGAAGGTTGCCGAACTGCATCGGTTCTGGCACCGGAGATCCGTGAATACAAACATCACTTGCAGGAAAGCCGGATTGCTTCAATCCCTGGCTAGCAAGTCAGCATGGCGCAACAGCCCGGAGCACAGGCACAACAAGCCACAGACATGGCACAGCAATTTGCACGGATGATGCAAGCCCTAGCACAAGGGCAGAATCAACTACAGCGAGCAATGGCAGAAGCATACGCTCAGCAAACGGCAATCACAAGGAACATAGCAACCAGCGTAGAAGTACGAGATAGATCAGAGTTGAAAGGCATTCCAAAGCCTGACAAGTTCAATGGACACACAGGTGCCTGGGGCTCATGGTACTTCAAGTTTAAGACTTGGATTGAGACAAAAGAGCATCAAGACACAGAGATCAATGAGACATCTCTGGAAGACGATTAGCCTGAAGGAGCCAAGCTTGCTTCAGCTAAGGCCCGGCAGGCTCTGATCTCACTGTGCGAGGGAGAAGCCCTCGAGATCGTCAAGACTACCTCCAGAGGTCAGCACTTTGGCCTAGAGGCATTGCGACGACTGATCAGTAAGTATGAGCCACAGAATCCACAAGCAAACTCAGCTTTGCTGAAGAAGGTCCTGCACCCACAACAGTATGCATTGGACAAGCTCAGAGAGAGCATAGAAGCCTGGGAGAACATCAGGCGAAAGTATGAAGAGCGAAAGAAGAAAGCTCTTGATGACGACATAGCAAGAAGTTGTCTCCAGCAGATGTGTCCAGCCAAGCTTCAAGATCACCTTGACCTCCAGAGTTCAAGACTCACTGACTATGCCATCATGAAGTCAGAGATTTTGGCCTATCTTGAGAACATCGAGAGACGAAGAGAAGCAAAGACAGGGTCAGCGCTAATGGATGTTGATGCATTGGCCGCAGCTGCCAGCCAGATGCAATCTTCACTTGCGAGTCTGGCCAAGGCCAAAGGAAAAGGCAAAGGTGGCTCAAAAGGTGGTAAGGGAAAAGGAAAGAGTCAAGATGGAGGCAAGGGAAACGACAAAGGCAAACAGAAGGGAAAAGGTTCGAGTTGGTCCAACCCCTCATCATGGAACAGTGGATGGAACAAGAATGATTGGTACAAGAATGATTGGAACAAGAGTGGTTGGTACAACCAAAACCCCAAGGGTAAAAGCAAAGGTGGCAAAGGCAAAGAATCTAAAGGTAAGGGCAAGAGTAAGAGTAAGAAGGTAGCGTCAGTTGAGGAATCTGAAACCTCTATGCTCAAGAGCATCAACCCGAGCTTGAGTATTCCGCCGACATCGCCACTCTCTTTGCCATCGGGATGGAGAAAGCAGCGCCTGCCGCAATCTCTCGTGGAGCAGCCGAGGCAAAAGCCCAGACTGAAGTCAAGGCAATGCCAAAGAAACCAGGAGCTGGAAAAGGTCGCCCTGGAATTGCCGCTGTTGGGATTGCAGTCATGAATCAAGCAATCCAAGAGACCATGCAGTCCAATCGTGAACTGTATGAGAAGAAGTCTGAGACGATCCAAAAGGCCATTGAAGAGGCCGAGGCTCAAGGCAAAGCTGCCCATGAAGCCATCTTGGAGCAACAGGCTGAGATGAGGAAGCTGAAAGAGCAGTATGCTGAGAAAGAGAAGGAGGCCAAGATTTTGCTGAAGAGGCCAACTTCGCCGCGCCGCTTCGGTGCCGGCGGAGTCGCCAAGGCTCTCAGCTGATTTGGCATCAGGCATGGATCCAAGATTGGCCAAAAAGAAGGAGAAGAGCCGTGTGCGCGCCGAGCAGCATCGAGTTGCTACGGCTCAGGATTGTTTTGAATCCTGGCGTGACTACGAGTCCAAGTATCCAGAAGAATTGGACTACTACGAGATCGCACGCGCCAAGGGCGCCGGCAAGCTCCAGGCATGGGACGACGATGAGGAGGAGAAAGAGTTTAAACATCGAGGGCGCGAACGCGCGCCACGACATCGAGGTAAGAAGCCATCCAAGGCCAAGGCCGACAAGGCCGAGAAGTCCAAGGAAAAGGAGCTCAAGATTGAAGACCTCTCGAGAGCGGGAAAGCCAAACATGGACGGCTACAAGCCATCCAGCCCGCAATGTCATTGACAAGGCGCTCACTGCAGCCCCGTTCAACCCAGAGGATTAAGAGTTTGAAGAAGAAGTTGATGACGATGAGACTGGCACTGAGCCAGCTGATGGTGAAGCTGATGAACAGGAAGAAGAAAAGGAGCTAGAAGAAGACTCCGTGCCGTGGCTCGACCGCGATCAAAAGCATATCATCGGCTATGATGAATGGGTGACAAAATGCACCCATCAAGACAAGGACGGTCGCAAGCACATGATTTGCCGTTGCGACAACGATACTGGCCTATGGAATCACCATATGGCTTTGAATTGTTGCCCACCAAAGGTCCTTGGTCAATGGGCAAAGAATGTAAGCAAAAGCGCATCAAGACTGCCAAGGGACAGCGAGGTAGCCCAACCTCGAAGGATGCGCCAAAGCATGTGAAAGATGCAGACATGGCTCTGAATCCTGAAGAAGTGGCCGAGCACTTGAAAATGAAGGATCCAAAATGGGAGACCGTCAAGAAAGAATCTCCTGTCTACATGACGGCCCACATGCAGAAGATGATGGAGGAGCAAGAAGAAGAGGATGATATGGGTCCAAAGACGCCAAAGCAAAGGCGCATTGCCAAGACACCGCCACCTCCTGAGAAGAAGGGCAAGACCAAGGAGGAGCGCATGGCCTGGTTCAAGAGCTCGACTGAAGAGCATCTGGAACACCACACCAAGGCAGATGCTTCGACTGATGTCCCAGTCTCGCTCTCCGGGCAAGAGCCGAGCCGCTTCGGCTCCGGCTGCCTCTGAGAAAGGTCAAAAGAAAGTGCAGATGACCAGAGCGGTCAACGTAGCCGCGAAGTGCCCCAGGGCAAGCAGTATCCAACACCTTCAAGCGAGCCAAGTGAAGGTGAAGGAGATCCACTGGCTATCCATGCGTGACACCCATGGCTCATCAGGTCACTTTGGATTCAGGAGCAGCTACCTCCTGTATTCCAGTCGACCTCGCCGCAGCCTTAGGCTACAAGCCTGTTCAGCCTGATGGCATGGACTCAAAGATTTACAAGACAGCATTAGGCAAGACGGTGAAGGATCTTGGCAAGATCAATGCCATGGTGACGATTGGCATCGGCAATGGAGCCCTGACGGGACAGTGCAGCCAGCTTTCGAGTGATGGCAGTCTCCAAGCCATTACTGTCTGCAGGAGCCCTCGCCGACAAGGGTTGGTCCATCCAGATGAGCAAGACTGGAGGACACATGCTCGAGATGGGAAGAAGATCCCAATTTCCTTTTGCAACGGAGTTTACTCCGTGCCGAGTTTCGCCATTTCACCCGGCACCGATGTGGGTAAGTCCGGTCATGGACGAAGAGGCCCCGGCAGATTTTGAAGCCGCTGAGGCCAAGCCAGGTGAAGAACTTCCATCTGGTCTCAAGATCAACGCTCCCGTTCGCCCAACGCGAAAAGAGCTCGAGGAACACGCAGTTTCACATTGTCCTTTTCGTTCTTGGTGTGAGGCCTGTTAGAGGAAAGGCCAAAGCCAATCCACACAAGAGAGTGGATCATTCAGATGAAACCACCCCAGTAGTAACTGTAGATACTGTTTCATGAATTCGAACTGATGACGTAGTCATGGATGAAAAGACACATGCACCAATTCTTGTTGTCAGAGATCGATGGACGAAACATCTTTTTGCCCACGTGTTGCCCTACAAAGGTGTGACAACAGGTCCATATGGATCCAAGGTCAAGAAACTAGGGTATTCCAAACTAGTCATTCGACATGATCCCGAACCTGCTCTCACATCCGTCGTTGAGGCAGTAAAGAATGGTTTTGAGAAGGAACCTTGATCATCGAGAAGAGCCCGAAAAAGGAGTCAAAGACTCCAAGGGAGAAATTGAACGAGCAGTTCAAACCTTGGAAGGACAGCCAGGACTCTTCGAGCAGCAATCGAGTCAAACTATGGTGAGAGACTTCCTGACGATTCACCTATTTTGACATGGTTGGTTGAACACGCATCCACAGTCTACAATTTGTTTTTCCGATCGACCGAACTTCAAGACGGAAAGACGCCATACCCAAGACTTCGTGGACGGAATGGAAAGTAGCAATTCCACCTTTTGGTGAGGCCATTGAATACCTCAAGAGAGGTTGAGGCCCAATGGACTAAGGGAATTTTTCTAGGAGTGAAAGACACCACTACGGAGAAGATAGTCGGCGCAGCCACTGGTGTTTATACTGTACAGTCCATCCGAAGAAAGCCCGAAGAAGATCGATATGATTCAGCATTGCTGAAGTCGATCACTGGCATCCCCTGGGACCCTCAAGCACTCAAGCAATTCGCGAAGAACCAGCGATTGCAGCCCCAGCCACCGGCAATCGATGACAAGGCTGAAAAGGCTTTACGTCACCAAGAAAGACCTGGAGAAGTTTGGGTACACTGCAGGTTGCCCAGCCTGTGATGCCACCCAAATTGGCAAAAGAACTTCAGGTATCCAGCACACCAACAGGTGTCGAGACAGACTTGAAGAACACATCAGAGGTGAAGAAGAAGAGAACCCAAGAGTAGCAAGACATGAGAGTAGAGTAGGAGAAGCAGTCACTGGCATGCCACAACCAGTCAGTGGCAAGAGACCTCAAATCCTCCATGGATATGAAAGCAAGAGACCATGGAGCTCCCAATTCATGTCGGGTGTTCGCACGATTCGACGTCGAAGCTCATTGTTTTCAAACCACAATGCCGGGAGGACCTGATTGGTCTACCGTCTGGCACCGAGTCACAAGAAACCATGCAAACAATGCAATCATTGTAAGTGGAGTCATGACAACTGACCTTCCACCAGATACTCAATGGAGCATAACCTCACAAGATGGACATGACAGAGCTGTGGTACGAACCAGCCGCAGCACCACCGACACCGGGCACAGCATCAGCATCAGCATCAGGTATTCGCAGACCACGCGAACCTGAACCACATGGAGAAAAGAGAGAACATGAAGAGCAACATGAGCCAGCAGGGTCACCAACAGCAAAAGCCAGAGTAGATAGAGACAAGAAGAGAAAGGCAGAAGGCGAACATGAAGATGAAGCCGAAAGAACAAGAGACATCCAGAGCTTCTAGAAGACAGAGAAAGAGTGCTATCCAGCATCGGCCCAGAGAAACCAGTGTGTGAAGAGAAGATCCCACTGCCAGAAGAAATGGCAGAAGAGGCACAAGACTGGTGGTACTATGACGACACCAGTGGAAAAGAGCTTCTAGCTGAGAAGGTAGAGAAAGCCAGACAAGATGAAATCGACATTGTCGAATCCATGGGAGTTTGGGAGAAAATCCCAAGAAGCAAAGTTCCAAAAGGAACCAAAATCATTGGAACTCGATGGGTAGATGTGAACAAGCAAGATGAAACCAATCCTCTCTACAGAACTCGATTGGTGGCACAAGAAATCAAAAGAGGCTCCGGTTTTGACGAACTTTTCGCAGCCATGCCGAGCCTAGCAGCTTTGAAGCTACTGCTAACCATTGCAGTCAGCGACAGCCTTGCATTGGAGAAAGGCGAGAAAAGCAAGACAAAGCAATCTTTCCTAGGATTTTTAGATGTGAAAAGAGCTCGTTTCTACTCCAAGGCAACAAGAGAACTCTATGCTGAGGTCCCATCTGAGGGTAAGAAGCCAGAAGATGGAGATGTGGTAGGCAGGTTGGTCAGGAGCCTGTATGGCACCAGCGATGCACCCATGAACTGGGAGCTGACCATCGCAGGGTTCATGAAGAAGTTAGGATTTTTGCAAGGATAATCAAATCCATGCATTTACTATCATTTACTACCATGCATCCAGAGAACTTCGAACAGAAGTGCATGGGGACGATTTCGCGACAGTAGGAAATTTTGAAGACATCAAATGGTTTCACACTTCAGCAGCCAAAGAATGGCAAGTTGCGGAACGAGGCATTCTTGGTCCACCTGGATCCCCAAAAGCGAGCCAACAGATCAGAGTGTTGAATCGCATCATCACTTGGTCAGACGAGGGCATTTGGTGGGAACCAGATCCAAGACATGCAGAGTTGATCATCAAGTGGTTAGGCAATGGACAACCAGGCAAGGTCAAGACACCTTTGGCCAAGCCAAGTCAAGAGGAACTACAACACGAAGAAGTTCCGCTGAGCGCCGAAGATGCAACGATGTATAGATCTATTGCTATGAGAGCCGCGTATTTGGCACAAGATCGACCTGATCTGCAAACTGCAACGCGCTCGTTGGCACAGAGTCTATACAGAATCCAACATCGAGGCACTTGAACATGCTGAAACGATTGGCCAGATATGTCGGGTATCGACCAAGAGTTAACACAGCTCTTTCCAAATCAAAGTACCTGCAACCCCTTCAACATGTGGTCAGACGCCGACCATGCAGGTTGCATAAGGACACGGAAGATGTCAGGAGGCGTGCTCATGGCCAACAAATGCTGTCTCACTACATACTGGGGACCGTTTCCCAGCAAAGAGGTGATTAATGGACGCTTCCGCTGGCATCGCCATGGGAAACCGTCGAGGTTTGGGACGAGCCAAACATGTTGACACTCAGTACCACTGGGTACAAGAGCGTACAGCAAAGAAAGAGTTTCAGTTTCTTCTCAGGAAAGAAGGCACCGACCGAATGTTGGCCGACGTGCTAACGAAAGCTGTCACCGAAGAGAAAATGAATACAGCCATGAAAGGCATGAACTTCCACTACTTGGAAGGTGAACGTGAGCTAACCTTGAGAGCTTGAACGGCTTGAGCTAGAGGAGGTACTTCCTCAAGACCAAGATGTACTGAAGGGCTACGAGCTAATTTCCTCATGTGCTACTCCTGACTCGCTTAACTTTTGAGAGACGTTAAACTCGGGAGGCGTGATCAGATGCAGCACCAGGTACATGTACATGCCATAGTTGTGTATAGATGTATGTTTCACTGCAGCCGTTTGAGAGTAGTTTGTGTTCATTTGGATCTACTTGATCTCATTGAAACGTGAGCTAAAAGTGTGTCTAAGCTTTGAATACAACCTTTGGGACTGTGACTTGGGGTCATTACGTTTGTGAGCCTAAATTCTCCGTTCATGATTTATTGTTACAAGTGTTAATCACTGATTCGAAGGGTCATTCGACAAAGCCCTTGGTATGGTGAAACAGATTCGTTTTTGTGCGCTTCCTTTTTTCTTCGTTGGAGTGAGGTTGGTCATCGGGCAAGAGTTTCCAGGCAGTTTCCGGCAGCACATGTTCAGGATGGCGAAGGGTGATGAGATGCGAAGTGTTTTAGGGTCTGTGGAGCTGCCGGTGGCAGCCAAAGTCTGTACGTCTGAAGCTACGCAGCCACCGTGGTTTGGTGAGCCTTTTCATGACTTCCTTTGCAAGTCCATGTTCATTTGACATCATTTGACCAAATTTGAATACATTTGACCAGTTGGCCGTTCCATGGGAAGAAAGGCCCACGAAAACCACCCCCCACACCGGAGCACTGCGACGGATGGCTCCGGGGTTTTCACCTGGGCAGATGAAGATGATACACGGAGCTTGAGCGTGGACAGTTCGATCAGCGCCTTGGCACAGCGCACCCTCGAACCGCGGTGTGCAGTGGTGCGGGCAGGTTGGAGACATAAGAAATCAAAATGAATGAGAAGATATGGAATAATGTTTTGTTCCCATGTCTAGTTTGCACTTGCCCTATAAATTTGCAATTGTTAACATCAGAAATATTTGGCAAGAAAACACAAGAACACATTTCATGGTTGATGTGTTTGTCTCGGAAGAGAGTTCATGCACGCAAGGACTGATCATGAGGTTCCAGCAGCTTTGCTTGGGGTCGGAGAAACAATCATCCCCTCCCATCCCTTTTTTTAACTGTTACTTGTTACCCTACAAGTCCAAGTGACTCAGTACAATTTGGTCTTCTACCGATTCTACCTCCTTCAATCGTGTTTTCCTATGACAGACTCCAGTAAAACGAGGTCATTGACCTGTACGGTTGTTCGTTTACTTTGTGAGCAAGAACACCCGTCACCATCCATCACCATCACCTCTGAGGTGAGCTGACGCCACCCGCCACGGAAGATCGGTGCTACCTGAGCGCTGGGAAGGTGCGGATCGATGGCGCGGGCGGAGAGCGGATCGGTGAAGGCGCCGAGGTGGATGACCCGAGTTGCGAGGCATTTGGGAGGTATCGAAAGAGCCACGATCGATGTACTTCGTTTTTGAAAAAGAACTGAGGAAAGGAGATCTCATCTCGTCTCTTGTGCTGTGGCTGTTTTCTTGGGCCAACTTCATGGAGAGGGCGATGAAGAGAGCATAGAGAGAGAGAGAGAGAGAGAGAGAGAAATCCCTACGGCTCCAAGTACCTGCTCAGAAGGTATTGGGACCTCCAAACCCACCCCAAAACACCTTCTCAAAAGGAACTTGGAGCCCTATACGGGTATGGTTTTTGCATGTTTTTGTTTCAGTGATATGTTTTGGATGAATCACAACATGTCGCACATTGAAGCTGCCCTTCAGGTGGCTTTGCACCAGCAGTTGGCTGCCCGAAGCTGTAGGCAGGGATTGACCTGCAAATGGTGTGTGTGTGTGTGGTGCGGGGAAGACATGGGAAGACCTTCGGTTGACCAGAAGAATCCATATGAATTATCCAAACGGCACAATTATTGCCGGAGACATTTTTCAGTGAAAGGACACCTTAATCACAACCATGGCCGTTTTAGGTGTTGCACACATGTGCTCAAAATCCATGGCCGGGGAAAGACGCTCTTTAGACGCCTGACAACGCCGGTGTCTTTCTGGTTTCTGTCGGTTTCCGCTGGTCACAACCCCGAAACAGGCTGTTTTGGGACACAGATCTCCGTAAACAGCAGTGTTCCTCTTCAAAAGGTAGGAACTTTGACGTGTGGCTGCTCCCAAGTGGACAGCACACGAGGTAGGCGACACCGGAGAGTCGCACACATCCGCACAAACCCAAGAGCTCACGAGAGAGCCCGGACAGCAAACAGCCGGAGGATAGTGAACGGCGGACGCACCAAGCAGAGGCATCAAACAGGTTGTTATACCGGACCCTAGACTTCCAAGACTATTAAAGAAATGGTTGAACTGGTTTTTGTAGTGTAAACTCCTTAGTTGGTTCGGTAAAGCCTATTAATTTAATAGTGGTTGGAAGTCTAGGGTGAGTTGTGCAGGGATTCCTTCTGGCTTCGCCGCGCGCGGGGGTCCGCCTTCCTCCCTATCCAGGCCTTGAGCACCGTACGGCCAAGCAACTTGGATGCCGTGGCAGAGATCCCAAGTCTCGATGGATCATGATGGACCTAGTATCGAGTCAGCCAACTGTTGGGCATTCAGTGTGCACTTTGGGTCAGGTAACACCACAGGTGTGCCTGAGTAGTAGAAAGAGAATGAAAGAGAAACTTGCAAGTTGTGCTACTTGGGGACCACATGAGGTGATACAGTAGGAGTTTCTGTGTGCACAGGGTGGTGGGAGAGTCGTTGATGCAATTGGGCTTCAAGTCAAACACCAGGAACTCCAGCGAGATGTTGCTTCTTGGATCTTTTTAAGAAGCCTGTCAGTACAGAGCTGTACAGGTTTGGATCGTATGTTCCAAGATGTTCAGATCGTATGAGGCTCCATGCATAAACCATCCGTACCGTGAAGGATAATTCTTTCATTGCCCATCATTTGCCGGGTGAGCAAACGGTACTACTTTGTCCCACCCACCCACACAATCCCACACACACAACGTGCCACACGCTCTGTTTAATTCGAACATGCTAAGGGCACCCTGCCCCCACTGTCCGGGCACCAAACCCGCCGAACCCTCGGATCTCGGAAAGCTCGACCATGGGGTCCGCTCAGGCCCCCCGGGATGGTAAGGACCAGGGGACATCTGAACGAGAGACGACTTCCGGAACCGGAGGCTGGCACTGTTCCAGACGTACAGACATTTTTTGAAGGCGTCCAGCGGCGGATTGGAAGAGCATCGCTCAGCACTAGCTTGTTGTGAGATCTTGAGAAGTGCATCCAAATACACACACGAAAGTTAGAGACAGTCTATATAATATAGCAATTGTGATCTGGGGAATGATGGTACTCACATATTTTATCCACCACACAGTGCCACACGGTATCCACTCTGACTGCCTACGTCTTTGTTCTCCATCAGCCATAGAGTGGAGGAGCGATGCTCAACTATAGTTGGCACCGCCCAACCTAACTTTTAGCTCCTGCTCAGCAGTTCGGTGGCTCGGATCCACTCGCGAGCGTCCTCTTGTGCAAAGAGACTACTCAGGGGCTCCTGGCCGTAGGACCTACCACATCGAAGCAAGTAGAGACAGTACCACATCGAAGCTCCTACTCCGGGTCCAAGCATCCGAAGCACGGCGAAGCGCCGTCGGTTTCGCGTTTCACGTCCACTCGGCCACCGGTCGTCACGCGGCAGAACATCCGATGGGGACCAGTGAAATGCAAGAGAAACATCCGGAGGGGATCAAACAATGAAACACTTCCAGCAAGTTGATGAGAACATCATTGATGTTGCTGCTGTTTTGTTTCAGCAATATTGCATAACAACTGTGGCATTGGTCCCAGAAATAGATCTGGAGAAAAAGGATCGAGCCTAGAGTGATGCAGGTCGAGATGAGTCAGAAAAAGATTCTGCTGCGGTGTGGCAGCGTGGCAGGGGTCTGTGTTCCAGACAGTCTTTTTGCGGATTCGTCAGCTGCACGGGTGGATATCACAGCCCAGCAGATCGGTGGTTAAGGGAGGATGTGCATCACGGAAACATTGGGCGTGTTTTTGTCCTTGGGTAGAACCAAAAGGGGGTCGCACTCATCATCGTCACGACATTTCCCGCAATGCACGACCTTCAGCATCACCATGATGCACAACCACCGGGACAAACTGATCAAAGCCCTTCTTGCCCATCTCACAGCGCAAGTCTTGAAGGGTCTTGGGGCTTGTCTCGAGTCCTAGAACCGCGGCTTCATCAGCGTTGGGTACTGAACTTCATTAGTCTTCAGTACCAAAAACCATGCTGCTAATCGTCACATGTCCTTACATACGGCTACTGAAATCCGCAGGATTGCACCTGACATAGTCATGGACATCCGCGCTTCAAAAGGATCTAAAAAAACACCGACCGGGTCTCCCAGCTTGAGATACGAAAAAAGTGGTGTTCTTGAATATCTCCGGACATTTCACATTCATTATGCTTTGAGGCTTAGTGCTTCATTCGATTTTCTCGTCTTTTTTGGTTGCACTGCTTCATCATACATGCTCACCGCTCACCGCTCGTGCCCCAGGACGGCCGTGCTGGGCTCGGCGCGGGCGTCGCTGCGGGTGACGAAGCGGGCCCTGGGCTTCGCCAGTTGTTTGGACCGAGCGGCTCGGACGGAGACCGTGCGGCGAAGGAGCCAGTCCGACCTGAGGGAGGTGGGGCGATGAAAGACCGTTTGGGTCGTTTGGCAGAGATAGAAGAGGAGATTTGGTTGAAACTCTGTTTTGCTTTCAGGTTGGCAGAGACCAGGGTGGTACAGGATTTATACATTTTCCATGCAGGTAATGGCCCGTCAACAGCTTGAGCTCTAGGTAGGTCTCCTTGGCTGTCTTTGCCTATATAGGGCTCACACAATCAGAACATTGGGATAACACAGACCTGAAACATGTCCAAAATAGAATAACTTTCTGTGATCAATCTCCAAAATATCCGGACGACCGGAGACGCCAATCCACTGGACGTCCAGGTCAGATTTGGGGGCCTCTGCAAAGGCCCCGGAATTGATTGGAGCAATGTGCCAACCAAGGTGCCAAAGCTCTAGCGAAGGGCTAAGGAAGACTGACAATATTGTTTCCACAAGATAGCACTCAGCCAGTTTGGCCTCGCAAGAAGAAATCCATGGGAAATACAGAAATTCCAAAGACCTCTCGAATTGGATTTGACACTCATTGAGACCCTCCGCGAGGGCGTCAGGGTGGGTCACCGGCAACCACTGAGGATGCCATGGACGAGGAGCGACAGCGCCAGGTGGGGAGTGAAGGGATGCAGAAAGGTTCAATAGCCATATATAGCCCCGAGTCGTACAGCAGCGTTCTGCGGTAGAAGGAAGCTACCAAGTGGGACAAACTCATCAAGTCTGAGATCCATTGTCTCAAATCTATTCTATAGGGACCATTCAGGTGATGTTTGTCCTGCCATCATCTGCCATCCAGGGGGTCCTCTCACACCTGTCCTGTTCGCCCTCCTGTCTTTCCTCCTTCGGAGTCCAACGCCGGAGGTGCGGCTGTTGGAGCAACGCTTGCACGAGGCCATCACCTGCGCTCGCCACGAGGCGAGGGGCGAGCGGTGTGAATGGTGGGGAGAGATCTCTGGAGGGGCGTACCAAAGCTTCGTGAGAAAGATCCACAAATCTAGGGCCTGGGGCTTTAACATATGTTTGAAACATTTGCAACTTCAAGTTGATGCATTTGGAAGTATGTTTGTTCTGAGATGTGGACGTCTTGGGTGCAGGTGAAACACCTCATAAATCGGACCGGGCAGCGTCTTGCGGTGAGTTTCACCTCCAGGATGCCAACAAAAAGCTCCAGACGATCCCGATGGGGAAGGATCACCTCTAGATCAATGTCTACAAGTCCAGTCTGACCCAGTAAAACCTGGTTTGTCTACGTCCCTGAGTCAGCTGAGTAGTGGTTTTGTATGACCATCTCCAGTATTTCGGTCAAACTGACTTGGACTCTTCATGGAGCCCGGGAGTTCGGTTACACCGAGGTGTCTGCCCTGCACCTCGAAACCATGTCGGATCCGGAAGCCTTCTTGAGCAGCTCGGAGATGGATGAGATGGCGAGGTGGTTATTTGAGGTCTGAGGTTTTGGGGCAGTGAAGAAGTGGGACTGGAACGCAGGGAAGAATTGGGGTGAATTGGGGATGGAAGGCAGTGAAGTGATTCAATGGTTTGGGAACAATTGGCATTCGGAGTCCCTCCGGGAATATGGATTCCAAGCCTCTTTTTTGGTGGCTTTTCCCTTCAGACTCGAGATGTGTTGGGGGGGATCTTCGTGGGGCCTTGGCTTGGTGGGATGGGCAGATCCACAGATTGCAGGAAGCCCAAATCGCCGTGTCACTGAGGATTTGTGGCTCATGACCCTTTGCGTGCTTTGAAGGCGCAGATCGCTGACATAGCCGGGTTCAACTGGGAGAGGCCGTGACACGTCATGTGCAAGATCTCGAAGTCGACAACGTGTACTGTTACTATTATCTATATATGGTGCAATGTAGGATGTATTTTCTTGGAGGATTGTATCAGGAATGGCAGCCAAAACCAATAAACGATAATACACGTATGCTTACAGATGACCACCATAGGTTATGTCTTCTCAATTCAAGCCAGGAAATGACCAGGGTGGTGTGACCCACTTGCCTCTTCCAAGACACAAGGTACACATACGCTCAACAAATTGATCCGGAGATGCATATATTATAGCATGTCTTGTTGCATTTGATATTTGCCTATATAGGCCATTTTTGTCCCTAGAATCTCCTCTCAATGTCGGGACGCGTCAACCAGGAACTTCTTCCTTTGGTCGCCGTCCTTTGGTGCTCGGTGTCCGAGTCGTCGAGTGAAGTGGAACGGGCCATGGCCTTGAACTTGCTGGTGATTCGTACCGACCACTTGGAGAGACCTGCGCTGGGATTAGAAGCGTTCTTTTGACTGGAGGCCGGGGGAGGGCTTCGTTTTCGGTGTCCAAAACCCCCGAAGTCGTCCTGCCTTCGCCCAAGGAGATCCAGAAGCTTCTACGAACAGCTCGGTCTGCGCTTCGTGGAGCACCGGCACGGCTCCGGGCCCATGCACTACGCCTGCGAGTCGGAGCAGGGCACCTGCTTCGAGCTCTACGCAGCCAGTGGGTCGCAGCCGCGTAGCGCACCGGTGCGCTTTGGCTTTGTAGTGGACGACTTGGAACGGGCGGTGTCTTCAGGGGTTGAGGTGATCCAGAAAGCCAAGGAAAAGGGGGTGGATGGGGCTTGATATGTTGTTAAATCATGTTAAATCCGTGTGTAGAGGAATCTATTTAGTGCACGAGCTTAACGAATCTACCTCCCATCTTTGAAACAGTTTCCCATTGTTTTTCTCGCCTTTTTAAGAGGCTGAGAACAAGAGGGTGCTGCATTTGCTTTCGAAAGACCGAACCGAAGCGGTTCCGACAGGACTCTCCATGGGGGCGTCGAGCGGTGATTAAAGACCTGGATGGTCATACCGTTGAGCTCGTCGAGAAGCCCAGCACCAAGAAACGGCCATGTGAGGAAGGCGAGCAAGAGAGCGGCGACCAGAAGCGGACAGATGCGAAGGATGTGCATTGAAGTGGCCATGGGTGCTTCGCCAGGAGATGCAGGGTGTTAGACTATTGAAGTGCGGAGCACCTGTGAGGGCGGGTCATGCAGCTCGGAGAAACACAGTGGGTCATGGTGCTTCAGCTTGGACCATTGTCAACACCAGATTCAACACAGGAACATACAGGAACCATATTTGGTGCGACTGTTAGATTGCTGCCTCTCTATGTGGTCAGGTATGTCAGATGTGGCTTTTGCACCCTTGCAGTTGCAGTGCCATGGCATCGCGGGATGCCCAGACCTCTCCACCCGTGCTCCATCCGAACGTTCAGACCCCAGGTGATCGAAAAGAAGCACGAGCGGCCGACCGCGGCCGGGACCCGGTGCAAGACGGGGTTTGGTGGGAAACGCTACGCGAGGACGTGAACGTGGGCACTTGTGAACATGAGATGGCGATGCAATGATGGGTGACGTGACATGTGCTATTTATCCATGCCAAGACATGAGAAAGGATGTGGGCAGAATGTTTGAACATGACCCCAGTAACTATTACAAAGAGCAAGACATAGCAAACCCTGCAGGTCAAGTTGTGCAAGACACATGGTCCGTGGGATGGTAAACAGCATGAAACAGGAGATGCCCAAGCACGTAGCACCTAGTTCAAGTTCTGTAGGGTTTTGGTGTTGATTAAAATTACGAAAGCCAGCCTTCGTAGAAGGCGCTAGCGGAGTTGTGTCCGGCGAACGAAGTGAGTAGTTAGGGGGTCTGGGGGGGTGGCCCGAGAAAGGGACACGTCAACTCAGCACATGCTGGGGGAGGAGGGTGCTCCGAGGGAAGGTTTTTTGAGGTTGTGTTGGAGGTGATTTTTGAGGGGTGGTGATGCAAGAAATGCCAAATGCATCATTTGCATCATCTGAATGGAAAGGTGTAGTTGGCACCTTGCAAGGTAGAGAGACCTAGGGTAGCTATAGTGCAGCTACCAGGTATAGTACTTCAAGTTCCCTTTCCGTCAACCGCTTGAGAACCTCTACACACGCACAGCAAGCCACAGCCTTGAAGTCTCATTCGTGCTTTGAACTTGTATAGGTGTGTAAGAGGTATAGCAACATACTACCTGAGAAGCTGCAAAACGAAAGCCAGCGCTTCCCTTTCTCGAGAACTGCGCGTCGAAGCATAGGATAGAAAGGTAGGTCTGCACCCTAGATCCACCATCCCACTCCATTTTCTTTCATTTCTCTACGGCAGCTCCGCTTGGCATTTGCCAGGTGGAGGCGGCCGTGAGACCTCTTACACCACACCTACACAAGTTCAAAGCACGATTGAGACTTCAAAGCTGTGGATTGCTGTGCGTGTGTAGAGGCTATCGAGCGGCTGACGGAAAGGGAACTTGAAGTACTATACCTGGTAGCTGCAAGCAAG